ATATATGTGGACATTCTTATAGCCATATAAATACATATGTAGGAATACTGTCTGCCAGACCTATGTATGGTTGTGAGTATATTCCTGTTCACCTATCCATACCTGATCATCTTGCCTGTCTACTTATGTATCCATCTGTAGATTAATGTTTGTTATTACTAATAATGCAGTATTATGTATGTAAAACTGTTTATCTTTGCTGTCTGTACCTCTTATGCACCTCTGCGTGTCTTTCTTTTCCTTAGTGTTATGGTGTTGGTCACTCACATTGGGTATATTGCCTTTCCCTTCACCCAAGTCAATACTTGTCTCTTACCTATGTAGCAGTTTCCCTCTGTTCCCTTCCCCTCCCTGATAACTAGAAAAGAAAGTATCCTTCTACGTATAAACTTTTCCTTGTTAAGTTACTACTCTTATCCTCAGTTTTTTCATCTGAAAAATGGTGATAATACCTAAATTACAGGATTGGTGTTATTGTAGATGAAAGCATACAACATACATGAAAACATACACAAATGACATATATGAAAGCATAATCCTAGGTATCTATGAAAGTCCCTTCCAACTTTGTTTCTATATAAACATATTACTCTAAAATGAACATTTAGTTTAAGTACTTGAGAACTTAGTAAGAAACTAGCACTATAAAGCCATTACTACTGACAAAGTCTTACTTGGTTGTTTTTCTTCATTAAAAAAAATACTGTGCTGTTTCATTGTCTATGCTGTTCAATTATAGAATGAGTGAAATCATAAAAATTATAAATCTGTTCCATGTTCTGGTCATTAGCATAACATAAAGAAGTTTATTTAAATGATTGACATTATTAAGTACACATTGAATAAGATTACTGGGAAGTGTTTTGGTACATGTGTCCTATAAGAATTTTTCTAGGGCATCTTAGGAGATTCCCCCTAAAAACATCAATCATATTTACCCATATGAGCAAATATTCAATGACACTAAGAGCTTAATTAGCAGATATACTTATTTTACAATGTCATATCCAAAGCGATTCTGTTGAAATCTGATTAAGCTCCCTTTGTATGACTAGTGACCTTTTTTTTCCCCCATTTTCTTTAAAGAATAGTGTGACAAGCAGATTCATGGCCTTAGTACACAGAAATTCAGAATTCTACTATTTAGTCAGGATTATATCTCCTGAGAATCATGTCACATGTTTTCCGCTGTTCTTGAGAGTAATAACAACATTTGTTCTCAATATGGGACAAAAAATACTGAATTTTGTGTTTCGTGTAACTCCGGAATAATTTGTAACTATGGAATCAGCAAAAATAAAATCTTGATTTTAGGACTATGCCCTGTTTGATAGCTATGTCAAAATTTCTTAAATTTATAAAAGAAAAAAAAATGTTTTTCATACTAGTCATTAAAATGTGTATGTTGGTAGCTAGGTAGGACATATATGACTTCAAAATTGTAGGTTTATTTAAATAGGGTTAAGCTTTGTTCCTTTTGTTTTATACAACTCTACATCAATAACTAAAATTTCTGCCTTTCTTCCAAAGGGCTACAGTAGAAGTATCTCCCAAACAGAAGCGATAATACGCTTTGCTTTTCAAGCCTCTATCACAGTTCTGTGCATTGCATGCCCCTGTTCACTGGGTCTGGCTACTCCAACTGCTGTGATGGTGGGTACAGGAGTAGGTGCTCAAAACGGCATACTAATCAAAGGTGGTGAACCATTGGAGATGGCTCATAAGGTAAGACAGTCTTCTAGAACTAAGAATTGTTTCATCTGAACTAGCAGTAATATCTTTACTGAGAAACACAGCATCCTAAATTAATTCCACATGGTCCATATGTTGAGCCTCTTCTGGGACTATCCTGAGGGTTGAGGTAAGAAAGACATTATTTTTACTTATTGTGATTTGGGTGAAGATTTACAGAGCAAATTCACTTTCCATACAGCAGTTCACATATACTTTGTCTCATGACA